GGTGGAGAGGGGTGGGCTGGTCAAGAGTGGGTGGAGAGGGGTGGGCAGGTCAAGAGTGGGTAGAGAGGAGTGGGTAGAGAGGGGTGGGCAGGTCAGGAGTGGGTAGAGAGGGGTAGTCGGGTCAAGAGTGGCCTGGGTGGAGAGGGGTGGGCAGGTCAAGAGTGGGTGGAGAGGGGTGGGCAGGTCAAGAGTGGGTAGAGAGGGTAGGTGCGTAGAGAAGGGTGGGCGGATCAGGAGTGGGTGAAGAGGGGTGGGCGGGTCAAGAGTGGGTAGAGCGATGGTCGGTGGAGAAGGAGGTTGGTGGGTGGGGTGGTTGTGCGATGGACTGGTAAAGGTTGGGGGTAAATGTGTGGGATATAGTTAAATAGTGAGGTGTAATGGGTGGGGAATGCTTCAAGGCAGTGAGGTAGTGGGTGAGAAATGCTTCAAGGAGGTGAGCGGGAGAATAGGTAAAGATAAGAAGGGGTCGTTGGGTAATAGATAACGGTGTTGAGGGGTCGTTGGGTAATAGATAACGGTGTTGAGGGGTAGCTGGGTAATGGAAAGAAGCAGCGAGTGGAATGATTGGATAATAAGTATAAGGAGTGTGGTATCACGTATGCCCCGCGTCGCTAGCAAGAGACGTGTGTATGCTTTATTCCCACGCGGGTCGTGATTGCTATAAATGGCCCGCAGTGTACATCGCGTGTGCAGCATCATGCCATCTGAAGGGTTAGCTGAGGCGTGCTTACAACTTAACTACTGCCTCCACCCTTCGCACCTGCGTCCAGCCGCGTGTAGCTAATTACCCAACAAAATGAGCATGGCAGACGAGATGTGTGAGTGCCGCATTTATAAAGCTCTGATGGCTATATATGGTTTTGGTATAGACGGCTTAGAGACCTGTGTGAGGAGTGAGACCAACTATATATGCGTCAACGCTTTAGTCCTACCTATGCTTGATTGCGCAGATGAAATAGCATCCAGTAGTAGCAGCAGCTTTTAGAATTTGCACGCTAATCCATGAAGCTAACTGGGGGAATAATGGGAGTGCTGAGGTTAAGGTGGCGCTTATAGGTTATGCAAAGTGCGTGCGGAAACTGGAGATGTTTGTAAGTCTGCTCGGCTGAGAGTGGCATTGTGTGTTGAGAGAGCTCGCTTTAATGGCGGCTCTCTCACGAGTGTGTCGGGACCGATAAGGAAACGCGTACCGGACGCGATTGACAAAACACTCTTGTTTTCTTTCCAGTGTTCTTTTACAACTTTGGATGGTGAGTATACAAGGCTTGGCAGCATGTAAATTTTAGCGCGGTGCTCTGAAGCATGTGCGTGCATGCGTTCTAGGTTCGCGTGTATGTGGGAGGGAGATGTGGCGCACGAACAATAGGCCTATATGTTGACAAATAGTAGGTTTCAGGGGAGAGATAGTGATCAGAAGTTGTGGATATAGAAATCAGTTAACTCTAACCTTAACCCTAACCCTAACCCTAATCCTAAACCCTAACCCTATCCCTAATCTAAAAATAAACAAAATTAGCAAAAATATAAAAAATAAAATAAATTATCGAGAGAAATTAGCCATATCAGAGCCGTTCTTTTGTTGTAGCCTTAACGCGCCCTCTAGCGGATCACTATCTATCCGCTCTGTGCAAGACATCTCCATACCTGCCGAGTTGACAAATGCAAGCGCGCCATCTTTGTTTTATGGAGTTTCACTTGGTGGGCGTCTGGTTTGCGGCAGATCACGTCTCACTCACGGGAGACAAACACATACACCGTCTCCATACATGCACGACGGCGCAACGCCTACAACACATGCACTCCGCTCATGCTACGCGGTCGGCACTTGCGCTATTTTAACCTAACGCAAGCGTAACCGGGGGAAGTTAACTGACGTACGTACCATGAACGTACTATAACTGCCTCAGCGTATTTGACAACCCTAGCGTTAACGTTATCACACGTAACCGGCTGAACGGACCCTGTATGCNGGGTCAGTCCAGTCAGTCACGTCAGTCAGTCAAGTCAGTCAGTTCAGTCAGTCAGTCAGTCAGTCAGTCAGTCAGGTCAGTCAGTCTAGTCAGTTCAGTCAGTCAGTCAGTCAGTCAGTTCAGTCAGTCAGTCCAGTCAGTCAGTCAGTTCAGTCACGTTCAGTCAGTCAGTCAGTCAGTCAGTCAGCTCAGTCAGTCAGTCAGTCACGTCAGGTCAGTCAGTCAGTTCAGTCAGTCAGTCAGTCAGCAGTCAGCAGTCAGTCATGTCCAGTCAGTCAGTCAGTCATGTCAGTCAGTCAGGTCATCAGTCAGTCATTCAAGTCAGTCGCCAGTCAGTCAGTCAGTCAGTCAGTCAGTCAGTCAGTCAGTCAGTCCCCTTATTTTTGCCCAATTTTTGCATTACCATCACGTCTCTGGACTTTGAAATCATAACGCCATCTGCCCCCAGAATTATCAATCTTTGCACGTTGTCTCAAGAAGTCTCGAGGTGATTACTTGTCATAGAAGTTCCGGGTTGGCCTTCACGTAGCCGAAGACTTGGTCCTCCTGAAGCTGTCGTTGAGCTTCGGGGTCCACTCTTCCTGGTTTGTTCTTCTCAGTCTCTTTCTTTCTGAGACCCGTGGCGCTTGCGGCCCCATCGCCCTCAACCCTGTAGAAGCTGCTCACGCGTAGGGCTCCCCTCTCTGGGCGATCTGATCTGCCCTCCTCCTCCTCTCCTCAACCTGGTCATAGTCTCCCCCTCTTGACCTCCCCACCTCAACCTTCTGCTCTGACACCTGAAGAACTGTAGTCTTCCCTCTTTCGCCTTTAGCCTTTTCACTTTTTGCCTCTAGCCATTTTTAGAAATTTGAAGAAATATTTGGGAATAAAACTGATGAAGCTCTGATGCTGGTAAAAGCTTAGAATGCAAATTGGCGACGTACTGCATACGCGCGGTCTAGCGAAAATAAACCCAGGGGCAATGCCGTTAACGTAGTGGTAGCGCTACCATTAACGTACCTCTAGCCGTAGGCTACATTGTTAGCCCGCCAGCGTAATCACAGCTTATCACAGTGTTACGGCTAACATATTCGCGCAACTACCTTAATGTACCGTAACCTACCACTTAACCACGCACATTAACACCAACATTAGACGTAGCCCACAGTCCTACTGTAAACTAGCGCAACGCCTACCTTAACGTACCTCTACACACTCTTATCCAGTCATTTGACAGATATTTTAACCTACCTCGTTGTTACGTTAGTGTACTACAACGCTACCCTTAACGTACCCTTATGCACCCAAATTCCTTGATACGCTGAGGTAGGTTTAATTAACGCAAGTGAGCATCGTGGCATCACATACACCAGCCAGCCTAATTCCACACCGGGTGCACACGACACATGCAATATGCTATATGGGGTGCCAACCGGTAAAATATTATTAGCCAAATTATTTAGCATATAAAGGCATTATTTTAAACATATAATATATTATTTAACATATAATATATTATATAAATTAAATAATAATTATTCAACATATAAATATTATATATTATCATAATATTTATATAATCTATATAATATATATATATATTAAAATAATGGTATTATCATAATTATATAATTATTATATAATATAATAAAATTATATAATATATATATATAATTATATAATACATTATTTAACATATAATATATTATATAATTATATAATATAATATATATATATTATATGATTAAATAATTATTATTTAATTATATAGATATATTATATGTTAAATAATGTATTATTTATTTATATAATATATTATATAATTATATAATACATCAAATTTAACATATAATATATTATATAATTATATAAATATATATATAATTATATAATATAATTATATAATTAATATAATATATATAATTAGTATAATATATATTAATTAATAATATTTTTACGCGTTCGGCCACCTGGTCTTAAGTATGCTCGGTGGGCCTTACACGTGACAGAAACGCAGCAAAACGAAAACCCATGGATGCACGCAGGCAAGCAATTAAGAACACAGACATGCACGAACGTACGCGTACACACACACACGCGCGCGCGCGTACATGCGCACACACGCATGCACACATGCACACAATACACGCACACGCCATCTCTCGTGGGAGGGTCGTGTGTGTTGCCTATTTCCGCAAAAAGCCTACACGCACACACACACAGGATCTAGCTTTCCACAGCTGCCTTCTACGCTCCTACACGCACTCCACTTTCCTGAGTTATCCGCACATCTGGCCGTATTAATTCTGTCGCAGTATTTTCCGCGTGCGATTTCTTCTCGTCACGAAGGCTGGTTTAGTTCTCCTGTAGCGATCGTGTGGATAAACATACACGTGCGTGTTACTTACTCCCTGTCATTAGCTGCTAGTTGTGTTGCCTGGCGATGAATGCACGCAGCATGTTGCGTGCGGGCAGAGGTAGCGTTTCGTTGTAGCAATAGTTACGTTGCGTGATCGTGACCCCCCCAGTTAATGAATGCATATGAATGTGTCGTGTGCGTTGTGCTGCTGGTGTGTGCGTGCGTGCAGTGCGTGGCGCGTGCGTTGCGTGCGTGCGCTGCGTGTGCTCCGTTTGTTTCGTACGGCCCGCGCGTGTTCTGTTCTTCACCTAACAGATTGACAGCAAAAAAAGCAACATACACGTGTACTATGAAATAAAAACGAAACCAGGGCTGACCCATTGAACGTGTCGCTACATACACTAGCTTTCCCTCCACCACGCGACAGATGTTACTGTGAGTCGTGTTAATTATAAATTTGCTTCGCCCCGCAGGCCTGACTACGGCGTGGCAGCGATTCCATCCATCGTCGACATTGCGCTTCAAAGTGCATGGCGTTTGCCTGTTTCTGCAGGGAAAGGTAAGTGTTCTTCGTTTGCTTTCCTTTTATTCCACACTATTCCCTGTCGATTTCCCACCGCCATTCCCCCGTCATTCCCCCACCACAATTCCCTGTTCATTATCGTTCACCTCCATTGCCCCTGTTATCCCCCCACCTCCATTCTTGTGTCACCCTCCCCCCACCAATTCAGTACTGCCATTTTATACTTTTTTTAAGAAAATATACTTTTTTATACCTTTTTCATAATTTTTTTCATGCATAAATACGTTTAAATACTTTTTTTTGCCAAAGATGGTCAAAACTCTTCGGACATCTACATTTAGGTACACTGTATTTGATGAGATTAAAAGATGTGCTTTTGCTAGTCTTGTTGCCAGGCAGTGATTGTGTGCTCTGTTCAGGGAGAGTTTTGCTCTCAGCTCTATGCTCGTCAGTGGACCAAATGTCAAATGGGAGCAATATGCGCATTGCAGTGCTTTCCTTTGCATTGACACAGAGCGACGGCGGGCCACCTCGCTCAAATCTCAGCCGCCCAACAGAAATTTGTTCCAAAACACCCCCCTCGCTGATGAAACTTTTGACACTTGAAAAAAAGAGATTCAAGAGTTGATACAATGTGGTTCAGAATAGCTTAGATGCCACCAAATTGCACCATTTCCCCAAAATTTCCCGGGCGGAGCATGCCTGCCGGACCACCTAGCTTGCGCCAGATCTGCGCTGCTCACTGTGGCTAGGACCTAGAAACGCCGCAAAACACATCACAAAAAACATTTACCACACTCACAGACCTATTCTGGCCAGGGGAAAACACTGCTATTGAAATATTCAGACAAGAGGGTTCAAGAGACATTCCTGAAGGCTAAACAAGTGCCGCGCGAGCGACAGCGCTCATCTCAGTCTACTGCGGTGCACCTGTAGGTGGAGTGTGTGGATTCTAGTAAAACCGCTGTTAGTCCCAAATGTCGTTCACATACGGCGCCGAAAACAGTTGGAATGCACAGGCATGGTATTCAGGAACCTTCTCGAAGGAATGTTCGTAGGCGATCATTCATGAAAGTTGCCACGACGATGGCGCGTCGGTTTAAGTTCTTAATGATTAAGATGGAAGCTCCCATCGTACGTCAGTAGCAACAATTGTTTGCAAGGACAGAATAGCGGTAAGCACTCATCTATTTACCTACGCAAGCCTACAGGCTTAGAAATTGAGCAAGAGCTCAGCCCACCTGTAACTAATTAACGGATGGCAAAAACTACACAGTACTATCACCACCCACAGTGCCACTGGCAGTGCGCTACTGGCAGTGCATTAATGTTACTTACAGTGTAACACACTGACAGTACATGATGCCATAGAAAATATACGATTTAAGGGCATAACCTTTTCAACCAAATTTAGCTTCTTTAAATTTCACTGTGACATTGTAGCCTCATACGTCCAGGCATGTGTATAGATTCTACTAAGCAACCCAGCAGTCATATCTTCTAAGAGTAAACAAGATCCATGTTTAACTCTCCTCTGGAGGCGTCAAAAGGTTATCCGACACTTAGCTCTTCGACCAGTGTCAGCCGGAAAAGTACATTCATGGTTCTATTCAATAAAGCCATAAAAATCGCCTAGTCACCGCTGCAAAACAAAAAGTTTTTTCAATCGATCCGTCAGACCATGTCCAGACCCTTTGACCTTGCTGACTCAATTGCGGCCCACAGTGATGGCTTCCTACCATGAATGCTATACAGCCGACTTATCACGAGCCTAGGTCGCAGCCGTTTAAGACTTGTGCCGCAATTCTGCATTCCTCCCTATACCTTTAGTTAAGGCACGGGGAATGTTCCCCCTTTCTTTTACACCTCTTGACCTTTGACCTTTGACCCCAGCTTCGACATCCCAACTCGTTATTCGGATTCACCCCCCCACGTCACCGAATATCGTTGACCGTACGTCGAGCGGTTAAGATTTGTGCACCCAACATGTTGACGGACCACGGGACGCACGCATGCACGCACCGCCCCACGCTCATGCGATCGTTGACTTTTACAAGCTGCATCTGACTATGTCAGATGAGCTAACAAAAGTGACATACTAATCATGGTAGGTTTGATACAATTTATACTTTTTTGATACTTTTTATTGCGACAATTTGATACTTTTTCTGGACAGATTTTATACTTTTTTTGTAATATGACTGAGTGGCAGCACTGAAAAATTCCCCCGTCATTTCACACCCGTCATTCCCCCCCCACCATAATTCCCCCGTCATTCCCCACCATAATTCCCCGTCATTCCCGCCACCATAATTCGCCCATCATTTCTCCCCCTCACCATAATTCCGCCGTCATTCCCCCACCATAATTCCGCCGTCATTCCCCCACCATAATTCCCCCGTCATTCTCTCATCATTCCCTCACCATAATTCCCCCGTCATTCTCTCATCATTCCCCCACCATAATTCCGCCGTCATTCCCCCACCATAATTCCCCCGTCATTCTCTCATCATTCCCCACCATAATTCCCCCGTCATTCCCCCACCATAATTCCCCCGTCATTCCCCCACCATAATTCCCCCGTCATTCCCTCCACAACCATTCCCCCACCACTATTTCCCTGCCATTCCCCCTGCCCTTCCCCCCCTCCGCTGCGCCGTGGACAATTTACCCACTCTAGCCACTTTGTCCATCGTTCGCCTTTTGCTTGAGGGGCTGCGGAGGCGGCTACGTGACGAAGACGGTGAATGCACGCATGAAGCCAAAAATAGACGCCAGGTAAAAATTGGCTCGGTCAATTGAGCTGTTGTTGACGTGAGCACAGGGGGAGTAACGGGGTTTGGGATATGAGGGTCAGGAAAGAAGAGGGGGTATAGGGAAGAGAAGGGAGAGTGGTAGGGTGGGGCTAGAGGAACAGGGTGGGGATTAAGAAGGAGGAGAATATGCCGGGGATCAGACATGGAGATGAAGGGTGGGTGCAGGAATCAACATGGCGGGATGGGCCAGGAAGAAAGTGAGAGAACAGGGGAAAGAAGGAGTGATGCGGTAGGACAGAGAAGCAAATGCGTGGTGAGAAGCAACAACGTAATTAACATGTAGACAACAGTGTAGACATGGGTGAAGCCGGGAAATGAAAATGAAAATTATATTTATAAATATATTTTGATTATTGATTATTTATGTATCTATATAAATATTAAAAAATAAAGACATATACATATATATATATATATATATATATACCTGAAAAATACATCTTTGATATATACCTTTATATTAGCTCTTTATATATATA